TGGGGTGGGGGTGGGGGTGGGGGGGGGGGGGGGACTTCGCTTGTTGCAAAATGTTCCTGTGTCATTGTCTATTCCTCTTTGTTAATTCTTTGTTCCAGTTTGTACTGTTTTGTTTACTGGTTAAAATCTCTCGTGTGGAATGTTTCATTAATTTTTAGCTTGTCGACAGGGTTTGTTGAATCCTCTTTACTCCCAGCCCTTCACTCACTACAGCACACAGCCATTAAATATGCAGACTCCACAGCAACAAGCCCAACAGGGACAGGGCTCCCAAAACCAGAAACTCCACTACAATGGTTGAGATTTTGAAGCCTGTGTGAATTGGATTGTAGTCTTTGCATCCAGCAGTTTGGTATGTGCCTTCTTGTGACATTATTAGTGCCCCAAAGATGCAGTAATGATTTGCAATAATTATGATTGGGTTGATGACACAACCCTTCAAGGATGATTCTGAATGATGATCTTTGGAATCAGATAGTTTGATTCGGGAAAAAGCTCTCTTGGGGCAAACACAGGCTGCACAGCCGGCACTGAGCAAGAGAAGGATAAACCCAATCATCATCTAGAATTTTAAACCCTTCGATCTGAAGGTATAATTGTTACTCTTGGAGAGAGATCTACATGCCATGGTTTTGTCTGAAGGGTGGGTTATTAAGGAAAACAGAGCCCAATTATTCAATCATATGGGGAATCATTTCAGCATATAGAAGCAGCAGCTACCACTAACTTTTGTACAGCTTGCGGGTAAAGTCGCCCAATCCTTTCAGCTCTTCCTGACATGTAATTATGCTTTACACTATTATCATACAGATGATGACAATGATGATGACGATGACAATATGTTAAGAGGTGTTGGTGAGTAAGCACTGCTATCTATTGGAGTTTTTGGTTATATAAAAGAGTGATACTGGTATTTAACAAAAGCAGTATGTTGAGAATTGAGTGAAATTTTTTTGTAATGCATGTTTGTTGTGTACGTGCACTTATCTTCCTCTGCAGTCATTTGCCCATATGTTTTCTACTTATAGGTTGCCAAAGACCCCTCTCTCTCTCACAGAGCGCAGAACATGCTTTATCTTGTTCCAAGTGCCCACTGCTGTCCCACATAAACATTTAGAGCTTAAATCTTCGCCGCCTTGGACTCTCCACGTCTCTTGATGGCACTATGAAATCCAAAATGTATTTGTACTTGCCCGTAATTATATAACATGCACATTTTCTGTCTGCTGTTGGAGCAGCACTCTTGAATAGGCTTCTTTATTAGTAGCATAGAACTTTATTTTACTACTGGTGAGGGCATTAATCAAATTCCATAATACCAGTCTGCTGGAGAAATATTCCTCTATACACAATCATCTTCAAAGCCCACACAGAATACAAGAACCAAGTATCCACTAAGTGCTCCACCGCCAATCAAATTAACACAATTAATCAATCAATTACCATCCCCATCATAGGAAAAAAAAAACTTTCATCAAAGAAAACCTAGCCAATGAAAAAATAAAAGGACACCACAATCTCCCACCACAGCTTTAAGAAGATGCAAAAGAGATAACCTTAAGAATGAAGAAACAGAAAAAACAGAAAAAAATTGAAGTACAATTACAACACGAAAAGCTTTCCCGTTCAAGGAACATCACAGGATAATACACTTGGTAGGAACCTTATGAAACTACTTGCCAGTGTTCCATTGCTCATAAACAATGATTATATACAGCTTAGTATTGATTTGAGATTAATCAAAATGAAAAGGAAAAAGAAGCAGCAGCAGCTTCCCCTTTTAAATACAGCTTTGCCAACGGAAAAAAACAATATATATATAGAAGTTTTCCCCAGAAAAGTCAAAAAGAAATGTTGTGACTGGGTACTTACAATCGGTTTATCCTGTTGAATGTTTCAATAGCCTCCAATAACCACCATTGGCTGCAGAACGAACATAAACCTACTACCCATAGCTTGTAGTGATCGATCACTAGAATTTGGTCAAATATACAAGACTTGCAGGTCCTGTCATAGTTTTGAATGTTGTCTCCAGGGGCAACCACCTTCAAGAGCTTGTTCCAGCACGTCTTCCATACGCTTAGCAGGCAATATCTGTTACAAAATGATGTAAGTAATACTTCTCGTTTAATTTCTTGTTTAATTGTTAACTGGTAGATTCCAAAACCCCAATCATTAGGTGCCTATTGCATGCAAAATGAAGGAAAGAGCTCATAATTGGGCATCCTACCAAGCACGAACCATGAAATGAATCTTCAAATAATTCTCACTAATATTTCAAGACAGTTCTGGTCTCTCTTCCAAAAATTTAAAGGAAACATTTTTGAAAAAATTGACCATCAGAGTAATCTAATTGAGCTTACTGGTTTATAAAACAACCCATCTCTTCCCAAATTAAAATAGCCAGCAGTACAAAAATTAATGCAGATTAAACAGGAGAGACCCATGCAATGATCAAGGACTCGGCCAAAAAGGCAAATCCCTGACCAAGTACATCCCAGTTTGCACTCGGTGGTAACATTTACAACCTTAATCCATGCCAACGTATGAAATTACCTCCAGACTTGCAAGCACCGGTGATGGTACTTCCACCAAGTCCTTCAAGTTCCTCTCTGGTAGGATAACTCTCTTGATACCATACCGATGAGCTGCCAAAACCTGTATGGGATATATTTTATTGTCATTCAAAAATCTTGGTGCATGCACAGATGTTTGCCATAATTAAGCCATAACATATAGTTAATGGACTGAGAACAAACTAAATTTAACAGCTAACAGATCCTTAAAACAGCATATATACAATGATATACTCAATATTTGCGAGATGCCAAGTGATCATAAACTGCACTATTTTCTTTTTCTATTGGGAGTGCTGGTGGTGTTGGTGGGGAAAGAGGAAGGACAAAAGCAGGTGTGGTCAGTTTATATCCATTCACATCTGTTGCATCTCGTGGTTGTAAAAATCAGCCATTATGGAGCGCAAAAGCCACTATGTAACGGATTTGAAGTCCAATCCCAGAATGGACCATTATAACAGTCCCATGAAAATTGACTTGCGTAACAGCCGGGCCCTCTTTTCTCATTTTTTTCATTTCGATTTGGTAGACATATTTCTCTTCTAAACAAAATGACGTCAGAACTGCAACTTAGTATAGCCCACTGACAGATCTTCCCTTTTTTAGGTACCATTACACAACAGTTACTATTAATCCTTCTTGTTTCATTGAACATTCACATAGAAGACTCCCGTTATTGTGAAATCTGAGAAGGGTCCAATAAACACATCATTACACTAGCATGCAGAGGGGTGGCTTTCGTGACTCGAACCATTGACGTCCAAATTATAACAAAACAATCGTACCACTACATTAAGCCCACCATCAAATGTTCATGTAAAATATAATTAAAATTGTGTAGCCACTCAATGGTAATATTGAAGGTTATTGCATGAACATGTCGACACAACATAATGGGCCACTACGCACCTTTTGTTGGATTTCCACTCATTAAAAAAATGATAATTTGTGTGTTTCCATGTTTTAGGAACTTAAAAAATAAGAGAAGTTCATTCACCAAGTCAAAATCATGTGTATTTCATCGTATATCATAATGGAATTAATAGTTGCATGATTTTAAACCTAAAGCATGCATTCCTTCGCTTTTCATGGCAATGTAATCTACCCTTGACAGCTCAATAAAGTCTTATCAACTATCTAGGATTGCCTACATGAATTTTGTTCGACCATTGTGTTGCATCAAGAACTATATTTTTAATATTTCATTCAAAGTGAATTTCGACCTACCTCTACCCGTCGCATTATTGTCTATGAGTATCACTCCTCCTCACTGATCCAGCGGTAATAGATCTTGTATAAGCTCGTTTAAACCTTCCAAGTCAATTCTCTTTTACTTCATCTCCTACTTATACTACTTCCACTGTTTCATGAATATACTTATTCCTAATTATATCCTTTTTAATTTTATCAACCGTCGATCTTAACATTCAAATTTTAGTCGCACTTAGTTTCTGAACATATTTCTTAACCGCCCAACATTATGTATCATAAAGCATGTTGGTCTTGTAATTGTCTTTTAGAACTTATCTTCAAGCTTAATAGATATATATTAATCACAAAATAAAATAAATGCAATTCTTCACTTGATCCATGATGCTTTAATTGTATAGGTAACATTGTTTCCAATCTCACCCTTCGTATGAATAACTAAACCCAAATATAAAATACATTCATTCTTTAACATCTCTCAATTTTTTATTTGTACGACGTTTACATCCCATATATTCAAGTTTAGTTCAACTTACATTGAATCTTTTTTATTCCAAAGACTCCCTCTAAACGTATTGCTAATTCGTACCATAACTTTGTGAATCAATATTACACCATTGGCAAGTAATATACAACACGAAATCACATACCTAATGCGTCTAGTTAATTCATCTATAACCAAGGCAAAGAAAAATACAGACGTAAGGCAAAACCCAAAGTAGACCTAATGGCCTATAATGGCTGAGAATTTACTACTACTCCCTACAATTGCCCTCACTAAAGTCCTGACATCCTTCATACCTGTCATTGACCAAATCAATATACCTATTCGTAACTCTTTTCTTCTGTCAAACCCATAATATTAGATGTCAAGGGACTTGGTTGTGTGCTTTCTCTAAGTCAATGAAAAAACATATGAAAATTGTTCAAGTATCCAACTCAAAATCAATTGACAGTGGCAAGAGTGGCCCTTCAAGTATATAAATTGAACCTGGTGGTCCTAATTATTCGATGTGGGATAAAAGCTCTCTTAACATCCTCCCTCACGTGGGGCTTGGGCAAGCACGTGGGGTCGACAAACAAACAAACAATTATGCTTATCAAAAATTTCGAATGGATAAGAGACTTAGCTTACTGACCACTCAAGGCCTAACTCGAACACCATGTTGGAGCATCCAACCCAAGCTCAATTAACAATGAGTGGATTGGTCCCTCAAATATATAAATCAACCTTGGAGGTCCTAATCATTCAATGTGGGATACAAGCTCTCTTAACAAAAACAAATTTTCTCCACACATCTATATTAGTTTCTTAGTATATAATTTCCACTAGTCACAAATCCAAATTGATTCACATAAACTATTTGTTCAAGTTGAAGCTCCATCATACTCTTGCAAAATTTCATTGTACCTGTTAGTAATTTAGAACCTTTTTGTCTCCAGTATTCGTATTATAGGTATTTACGGACAAAAATCATAAGAGCAGAGGCAGGAAGTCACCAGTGCAACTTTTCTACATGCCATCTGACAATCAAAAGGGGGCCAAAATTTTGTTGATATGTTTTCCAAAAAGGATGCAGGCCAAATGAGTGACAACTCGATTAATGAACAACCATAGAGGCATCCCATCACCTAATTAATTAGGTGTAGGCTGATGAAAGTAGCTATTATGCATAATTTATCCCACAAACTCCCTTTTTCTGCATTTTGGCGGGATGGAGAATTTCTTGCAATTCCTAGATTATTGTGCTTGGTTTCTTCATTTTTCCTATTTTTTTACTTCATGTTGGATTTGCCCAACCTTTTCTATTCTTGATGCAACATTTTCAAACCAATAAAATATTTTGTTTCCTATCAAACAAAAAAATTTATACCGTAAACTTATATGGCACTGCTGTAATTTTTCTTGCTATGGACTCAAATATAGAGGGAGAATAGCCATTAGGATAAGTCACAAACTCACCTTATCTTTGATACCACCTACAGGTAATACTAGACCCCTCAGAGTCATCTCTCCAGTCATTGCTGTATCTGCTCTTACTCTTCTCTGACTGAAAAGTGAAACCAGTGAGGTTACAAGAGTCACACCTGCTGAGGGTCCATCTTTAGGTACAGCCCCAGCAGGAAAATGAATATGGATATCCCGGCCTTCCAACAGACTAATATCTGCAGCAGCCAACTTGAGTTCTGCTGCCCTTGATCTCACCTACAATTGAAAAATATACAATCAAAAATTAAGAAAACCTAAAGCCTCTTATATAAATAAAGGAAAACCCAAAGTGCGAGAAAAAATTTCAAAAACTAGAAAACCTAAAGCCTCTTTTTAAAATTAAGGAAAAGCATGTCTCATAGCATCAACCTCTTTGGCATAATGGCAATAACAAGGCAAATAAACAATGCACACCCACATGCTGATGAATATAAGTATGCATAACTACTTTTAATAACATCAAGTCCACAACTCTCCAATTTATATTTTCGAACGGACTTAAATTCTGTCGGTGGAGGATGACAACTTCAATTATATGTGAAACAAATCTGCAGATCAAACACACATCGGTTGTTTGTCATCGACTCTCCAAAGAGCCATGGGAAGATGATAGTATAGATTAGGGAGACTAGAAATATTTGTGAGTAAAATGGGATACAAATTAAGGGTAGAGCCCCCCGTATATATAGCCAATAAAAGTTACAATAAGGATAAAAAGGTAAAAAGGTAAAAAAGGAAAAACTTAATAAACCCTAATAAACTAAGTTGTTATATCTCTAACACTCCCCCTCAAGCTAGGCGCAAAAATGTCAATTAAGACAAGCTTGACAATTGAGTCCCGAAGAATGGATAAAGTGACAGGTTTGGTGAAAACATCTGCAACCTGATCACTACTCCCCACAAACGATGGAGTGACAATACCACTGCTAACCTTCTCCCAAAGAAAGTGAACATCGATCTCTATATGCTTCGTCCTCTTGTGTAATACAGAGTTAGAAGCGAGCTGAATAGCAGATCGAGTATCACAATATAATGTAGATGAAGAAGTCACTGGAAGTCCTAACTCGCCAAGAATCGATCGTAGCCAGATAATCTCACATGTGCCAAGTGCCAGTGCCAGTGCCCGATACTCTGCCTCTGCTGACGAGCGAGAGACAACTGACTGCTTCTTGCTCTTCCAAAAGATAAAATGAGTCCCTTGAAAAGCACAAAAGCCCATAGTAGATCGACCGTCACATGCTCCCCCATAATCTGAATCTGAATAACAGGCTAGAAAACCAATCTGAGATCCTGATGCATAGAACAACCCAAGTCCAGGACAAGACTTGAGGTACCTAACAATATGATAAATTGCATCAAGATGAGGCTGACATGGTCTGTGCATCAACTGACTAACTCTTCTGACAACGAATGAAATGTCTGGCCTAGTGTTGGCTAGGTAGATAAGTCTACCTACCAACCTCTGATAGACTGTTGAATCTCCCAACTCCTCACCTTCAGCAGTAAGCTTCAAGTTTGGAATCATGGGTGATGATGCCGGTTTGCACCCCAGCATCCCAGTGTCTGAGAGAAGATCCAGAACATACTTTTTCTGAGAAAGAACAATACCACTGCTGCTACGAGCAACCTCAATCCCAATAAAGTATCGCAAAAATCCAAGATACTTCACATCAAAGACCTTCCCAAGGTCTACCTTAACCTGCGCAGTCCCATAAACATCATCTTCAGTAATAATAATATCATCAACATATACCAAAAGGATGACACACTGTCCGGAAATATTCCGTCGAATGAAGCAAGTATGATCAGAATGACATCTGGTGAACCCTAAACGTACAACTACATCACTAAAGCGAGAGAACCAAGCTCGTGGTGTCTGTTTCAGTCCATAAAGAGACTTACGCAATCGACAAACCTTTCCAGCATACTCTCCTTCACCACGAAAGCCCGGTGGTGCATCCATATAAATAATCTCGTCCAGATCACCGTGAAGAGATGCATTCTTTAAATCCAACTGATGAAGAGGCCAAGAGTATTCCACAGCCATAAAAATAATTAGTCGAACAGTAGTCAATTTTGCCATGGGGGCAAAGATAGCACCAAAATCACGACCTGGTACCTGAGTAAAATCCTTCGCAAAAAACCTAGTCTTGTGACGATCAATAGTACCATCCGCAAGAAACTTCAGGGTGTAAACCCAGCGACAGCCAACAGGCTTCACCCCTGAAGAGCGTCCATCTCTGTCTGCATGGCAAGAACCCACTGGGGCTCCCGCATAGCCTCTGAAACAAAGCGAGGAACCAGCGTATCTGATAAGGTTATACTATAAGCTCGAAATGTAGGAGACAGATCACCATAAGAAACATAAGTAGAGATCGGATATAAAATTCTGGCGGTCCAACCATAATGAACAACTAGACGACGATCACGCCGCGGATAACGACGCCCTAAATCATCATCCTCCACTGATAATGTCTCATCAAGTAAAACAACTGGCTCAGTACCTGCAATCTCATCAGTACTAACAATAGGTGCATCAATATGCTCAACAAACTGAGAAGTATTACCTGCATCGCCTGAGATAAAGGGGACATCAACAGGGGGATGAGAGCGAGGACGACGAACATAAACCTGTAAAGGAAGAGAGACTGGTGACTCTGTACTGACAGGGATGAATGGCTCTGGAGGAGGAGAGACCGATAACTCTGTAGTGATAGTGACCAATGACTTTGACTCTGATGGTAATGAAAAATCAAAGGGAGTATCATCAACTGGAGGGGCAGACACAGGACTGGAAGAAAAATAAGGAATATGCTCAAAGAAGGTAACATCTAGACTGTGATACATACGTCGCCTGACAGGATCATAACACTGATACTCCTTAGACTGATGACAATAGCCCACAAAGACACAACGAATCGCTTTATCATCAAGCTTATGACGAGTAGAAGACTGATCCTGAACAAAACATGTGCAGCCAAAAACACGAGAGGGGACCGAAAAAAGTGTCCACTTAGGGAATAAGACCTGTAAGGGAGCCTTATGTTGAAGAAAACGACTCGATGTACGATTGCACAAAAAGGTAAAAGTCAAAACAGCAAAATGTCAATAAGATTTTGGTACTACCATACCTCTAAGCATACTACGTACCATCCCTATCAGACTCCTATTTTTCCTTTCAGCAACTCCATTTTGCTCAGGAGTATATGGACAAGTGAACTGCTGAAGGATATCCTGAGAAGAAATGTGAGAAACTAAGACATCAGACACATATTCTTTGGCATTATCTGAACGAAGAGCACGAACAATGACATCGAACTGTGTTTTAATCATCTGAAGAAATTGAGTAATGACAGGGAGTACATTAGACTTCCTATGCAAAAGGTAGACTCAAGTACAACGGGTATGGTCATCTATAAATGTCACATAGTATCGAGCACCTAATAAAACAGTAACAGGAGAAGGTCCCCAAATATCCGAGTGTATTAGGTCAAATGGTTTGGGTGACTGGTGCATGCGAGGAATATAACTGGTCCGAACATGTTTGGATAGGGAACATATAACACAATTAAGTTTACCACTAACACAAGTTTTGCTCAAAGCAGGAAATAACATACATAAATATTTAAAATTTGTATGCCCAAAACGGTCATGCCACAACTGAACAGTTTGTGATGAAAAATTATAATGACAAGTATTAGGTAAAATACTAGCATGTAAGCTAGGAACAGATAAAGACAAAAACAGGTGATGGAGGTGGAGGTGGAGAAACTGGTGAAACAGAAGGTGGATTGTATAGTGGATTGCCTAAATAATACAATCCATCTTTCTCATGTCCCCTGATAATAATTCTCCTTGTACTCAGGTCCTGCAAATAACACGAATTAGATAAGAACACAATCGCACAGTGAAAATTTCTGGCTAACTGATGTACAAATAATAGATTCATGGCCAGCTTTGGCGCATGAAATACCGAACGTAATGTAAAGCTATTTGGGAGGCGGACTGTACCCCTACTAATAATAGGGGCATGTGTATCATCTGCTAACTGAACGTGAGTATGTAACTGCTCGTCAAAAGAGGTGAAATGATGGGTCTCACCTGTCATATGACCATTAGCACCCGATTCCAGCATCCAAAGAGGAGACGAACTAGCGCAAGTATGAAAGACACGAGGTTTACCTATAGTAATGGCAGCAGTAGTAGTTGAACCTTGAGAAGTCAAGGCTGACATAAGTATATCCAAGCGAGAAGTGCTAGAATCCATATCACTCTGCCAAGGAGAAGCAGTAGCAGGAGCAATGACTGTAGGTGGTGGTGCTTCAGCAATGGCAGCAGTACGGCTGCGATGAGGCGGCTTAAGCTCCTGATGAAGCTTCCAACAAGTAGCCCTGAGATATTCTAGTCGGCCACAATAATCACACTGACGAGAATCCCCATATCTACGCTGATGTGGGGTACCCTGACGGTGTTGGGTCGAGCGCTGTTGACCCCTATACCTAGTGAAAGTACTAACAAATGTCTCAACGGTAGGAGTCTCAACTCCCTCAGTAGTAGTCATATCATCAATAATACTAGGGCACTCGTGACAGAAAAATAACTCTAAGATAAATAGATAGACAAAATAAGAGACAACAATATACCTCCAGTCGAACAGTAGTGACAGAGAAAGAAGGTCCAGAAAACTCCCAAATAATCAGGGTCACGGTGCCCAGAAATTCAATAAAGATAAATAAATGATCTATTGCATCAAAAGCAGATCACCAGAGAAGAGGATCCACTCCCTCCTAAAAAGAGTCCTAGATACTGCAACCCGATAGCACTGTGACAAAGTGTGCGAAGGACGAAGCTACAACAAAAAAGTGACCCGACAGTGGGCTGATGAGTTGACTGGACAGTGACCCAGGTTGGGCAGTGGGCCGCTGGGTTAGGTCGAATAATGGGTTGCTGGGCTGGTCTGGTCTGGTTTGGGTTGATTTAATATTTTGATTAAAGGGCTGGTCAGTGCTTTATGGAGGCAGTCGGTGTCGAGCTTTGGCTGTCAGTTTTGATGTTTCGGTGTTATGGTGTTCGAATAATGGGGTTTCGGTTTTAATGGAGGCAGTCGGTGGATTTTCTTTTCGGTTGGGCAATTGGTTTGTTGTTCTTTGCTGGGTTGTCGCTAGTGCAGTCTGGTTTCGCAAGTTTTGTAGTCAGTCGGTGGAGATGGACTGAAACAGTAGGCAGTCGGTGAGTTCACGGTAGTTTGTTGGAGCTTTGGGTTTTTATTTTGTTGTAATTTGGTATATGTTTGGACTAATTTGGCAGACTGGAGTATGTCGGTCAGTGGGTATAGCTGATTTTGTGATTTAGCTGTTTGTGTTATGGGTCTGTATTGGTGACTGGGAGTTTTATTGGGGAATTGTTGTAAGGAACCGGTTATCGGAGTTGGGTGAGCAGTAGCTGGTTTGTTTTGCTAGTTGCGATGATTGGCGGAGGCTATGTTTAGGGTTAGGGTCAGTAGCTCTGATACCAACTAGAATTTTTTGTGAGTAAAATGGGATACAAACTGAGTGTAGAGGCTCTTGTTGGTTTTTTTATGGAGTCTAGTTTGTATATGTGATCCAGATAATGACTTGACCTGAAGTAATGTTGCGTGATTTTTTAATGGAAAATTTTCTGAAGCTTAGTCCATGGAGCGAAGGCTTGGGCCGATAGGCCCAAGCCGTAGTGCTCATGGACGAGCCTCGTGGGGGTTCGGGGGCAATGCCCCTGAGGAAAATTTTTGGGCCTGTTATATAGCCCAGTGTGTAGTACATATAAACCCTGTTGTTTTGGTGATTAGGGTCAATCGTGAATTGCACAACCGCTCTCTGTATTCAACTCTCTCAATAGTGAAATCCCTGCAGCTTCGTGGACGTAGGCAAAATTGCCGAACCACGTAAAATCTGTGTCTTGTTCTTTCTTGTTTCTTATTACTTTATATTCTTGATTTGTTCTTCGATTGTGTGTGTTTGTTAGTGGATTTAAATCCTGTTAAATCCCAACACCCCCGTATATATAGTCAATAAAAATTACAATAAGGATAAAAAGGTAAAAAACGAAAAACTTAATAAACCTTAATAAACTAAGCTGTTATATCTCCAACAGGGAGGGAACACATTTGATCTAGCCAATGATGGGGATGGAGGGTTCTGCCAGGACATTAGAGGATGAGGGATGAAGAAGATTAGGTTTGCATGTGAGGCTCTAGGATGGTTTTGCTCAGTTTGGGAGGAAGGATAAGCAGGGAAAACTGGAGGAGTTTTGGAGAGGCGTTGGCAGAAGGGAAGGGTGTCACTATGAGCTTCCATCAGAGGCAGCCATGGAAGTCGATTCATTATCTTAGTGAAGACTTCCAATCATAGGTCCACGTGTGTCATAATGCTGGAGATAGAGAACAATAGTGTTGGTGGAGCTGTGGAGGTGGCAAATGTGTGTCAAAGATTTGGACAACAGAAGGAGCACACAACTGGGAACTAGGAAGGATAAGGAGTCATTTGCAAATGTTGAAGCTGTGTAAACATGGATCGGAAACTGGATAGGTGAAGTAGTAAGGAGGAACCTTGCAGGTGGGGAGGGGAATCATATGAAACAAGACGACAGACATTCGAAGAGTCATGGTGGACCGAGTGGGTGTCTATGAGGATTGCACACCAACGATAGGCTTTATAGAGAGATGGGTCACCACACACTGGCTTTTACCCGTTGGAGTAACAATGAAGGAGATTGGGGGATCATTGTTTAGGTTTCAATTCCCATTGGAGGTGCAAGTGAGGAGGGATTTGAGAGAGGGAAAGAGGATGATGGTAAGTACAGAAATTGTGCTGGACTGGAGCTCGGTGGCAAGAGTGTCATGTTTGTTAATTATGAAGAAGAAAAAACTATTCCAGAGGAAATCCACTGGTGATCAGATTTTGTTAGTCCTCAGAAAATCACGAGCATCGCTTTACCTAGTGTGTGCAAGGTGAGCCTCAAGGCTTGCCTCATGGCAAGGTCAATCTCTGATGTACTTAAAAATGCAAGACTTTTTAATTCACAAAGGATATTCATGCATTTTACAGGCTTTAGGTCTACGCGAAATACATGCCTTAAAGGACTAGTATTTTTATGAAGCTGCCTTAAAGGACTAGTGTTTACAGGAAAATAGGGATAGTTAAGCAGCAGAAATGGTCCAAATTAAAGACTGCAGCAAAAAAAACTAAAAATAATCAAGAAGATTTGTTGGTCAGTGTTTGCTTGCCTCACTTATTGCCTACAAAAATAAGGTACGTGACATATGACTGGAAAAGATTTGGGCCTTTTTGTTCAGCACACATGAAAAACAAATGATAAAGAGAAAAATTTACCCATGTCAACGCTATATGTGCTGATTCCTTGATAACATCACCCAGTTGGCCAGTGAGATGTAGGTCACCCTTTCCAACCATTTCAGCAGCCTCCACAAATTGAACCTCCCCACCAAATGCTGTCCAAACCAGCCCAACAGATACCCCAGGAGTGGCAACCCGTTCTGCAGTTTCTCTGTCACCATACCTTGGAGGCTGCATTCCAGTATACACAATCCAAAATTAAGACTGGTCGCATTATGAGAGAGAGAAAAGATGAATAACAAGAGAAAATACTGCACTACTAACAACTGATAAGTATATGTGAACATCCCCCAACCACCTTCACAAATTCAAAGGAAAAAAATTAGTTACCCCTAGCACTTTTTCCAGCATCGCTTCATCTACAATCAAAGGTGAGGTGACCCTGAATTCATTTGATATGCCATGATTACTGATACCCATAGGAATGACTTCCATATCAACTTCAGCTCCATCAGCAAGTCTGCTCTCCTCTAGTGATGAAGCAAGGCCCTGGACATCTTTGCTGCGGGGAACAGCATGTTCTTGCTCTGCAACTCTTACAGCTGCTGCACGAGCTAAGGCAGCTAAGTTTCTTTCCAGATTCCGAACACCAGCTTCTCTAGTGTACCTTTGAATGACAAGCTTCACCATAACCTAGCAAAAGCATGGTAGCAAGTCAATGGCTTTCTCCTAGAGGCTCGAAGCCAGATGGAAGTATCTTTATCTCCATTTATCATACTCTAGTGAAACTACTGTGTCAGGAATCCTCCACTACCTCGGGAATTTGAAGGAAGTCAGAACTCAAGCCATGCTGATCCAGAACTCGTGGAATTAAATGTCGCATTGCTATCCTGAGCTTTTCTTCAGGTGTGTATCCTGGCAGCTCGATGACTTCCATCCTGTCTAAGAGTGGTGGAGGAATAGGCTGTAACCTATTTGCTGTTGCCACAAAAATAACCTTTGAAAGGTCAAATGGAACACTTAAATAACTGTAACACTTCAATTAAGGAATCACTTTGGATGTGTCAAACATTAAGTTTGTCATATTGTTATGGTAATTGATTCACACACATTCACTCACACATTTAACCGACAGGTAAGTCTTTATCGCATGAATAAATTCAATACTATATACAACATACCAAGCCTAAGATTTTCAGATCTTGTTGTACAATGTCCAAAATGATTGAAAATTAGTCCAAATGAAAGAAATTATACCCAAAAAGACATGCTCATAATCTAGAAAACATGAGAAGGCTTAAATTCTAACATATTAGTCAAACAAGAATACACGGATTATTGAGCCAAACACCCAAGTCATGAGCCACCGTGATGGTTGAGACACTCAAACCTCACCAAAAAACACAAATACCCACACACACCCTGTCACATGAATGTGCAAGTAGAAGACCAATTTAAATTCAAATGAAAATCATTTTTCCCGTAACAGATCTTTAATGGTTTGACTGGGGATATGAACGATGCTACAAATGTCAAACTCGAGGAGAGCAAAACAACAATACATTTTTCCCAAGGAGACTTCGATAAATATAAAGAAATTATGAGTAATGAAGAAGAAAGAAGTGGATGATTCACTGAAACAAATCGTGAAGGAATGAGGATACTGATCATTAAATGTTCTGTTCTGTTCAGGATCAAGAACCTCCAGCAGTGCTGAAGTTGGATCACCCCGAACATTCGAACCTGTCTTGTCAATCTCATCCAGCAGCATCACTGGATTGCAAACAGCTACTCTCTAAACATGAAACATAGCAGAATATTACAGTCTCCTGCCCTGAAGAATAAACCAAATAGCCGTATATTTGTTAACCAGAAATAAGGAGAAACCAAAAACTAGGAGTCTTCAGGTTGCTTGATACTCATAGTAAACAGTCAGACTCAGCATCCACCACCTAAACAATGTGGTGAACATGTGTGCTAGTCACTTCCTGAGCAAGCCAATCGGTTTTATCTTGTACATGCTTTATTTTCCGCTCAAAATCTGCTGGTATGTGGTACTAAATAATGGTATTCAACTGTGATAGCATAAAGTTTCTTCGTCAAATGGCTGAACCTATAGGACTTGCTTTACTCCCTTCTACCTACTAAGACAGGGACATACACACACATGGTAAATAATTGTTTGAATCCACCTAAAATTCTGATAATATCTTGTTTTGACTACGTGAAAGCAGCAAGATCCACATGAAATCTGCCACAAAGAAGAACATAACTGTCAAAATCAATGGATATCATTAATTAATGGCCTATAACCTGGCAGCTTCAATTTTAAACTTCATCATATTGCTATTGTCAAACATAAGATTCCATGCATAAGTTAGAAGGTTAAATCTTTTAAGAGATACCCAACCCAAACCAATAGGCATTGGGTGGAAAGGCCTTTCCATCATAAAAACCAACATTGGATGGTATGTTCCATAAAAACTGTTCACATCCTCCCTCACATGAGGTCCAAACTTGCACATGTACTAACAAACTGAACCGAAACAGGGAGAAAAAAATAGGAGAATTCTTATGGGTGAGAGATTATCCCACTCATCACCCATGATACGGCATCCAGCGCAAAACTAATTAGAAATAGGTGGAGAAACCCCTCAACCACATAAACCAACCTTGGGTGATATGTGGGATACAAGCTCTCTTCACCCAATCATCCACCCAAGTCAACATTTAGATGCACTATGCTTATTAGAAAAGGTTAATACTGTAGCAAAGTGAGTATGAGTGAGCATCCCAAAACATGATAAACTTCTGTTCTCAAAGCTAAATCACATAATTAAAAAGGTCTAAAAACTTTCTCATTAAGGGAAAAAAAACTATCAACATGAATATTTCCAATATTGACAAATTTTTGTAGGTAAATACAGATGGTGCATGACAATTAAGGTATGTCAATATTCATCTACTTTTCAAAGTTGTTCTTCTCTCATATGAGAAATGCCTCAGCGGATTCTTTACCCGTGGAATATAAATTAGCCTACCCAGGACCTATCATGTTTAGAATATGTGTTGTACCAAGTTCCTCCTACTGTACCACATACCACTGATACCAGAACATCTGTGTTTTCAGAAACATTGTGCTATACTGAGACCCAATTAAGGTTACCCCATCAGGCACCCAATTGGGAAATATAACCACAGTCATCTTCTTTGGACAACATAGTGAATAAACCAAAAGGATATCCTAATTATTTATCATAGAAGTGCAGAAAGATGCTTGAGTGGTTTTACAGATGCCTACAGGAGTATTGGAGGAACTGCCAAAAATTCCCCTGCAACTTCTGAATGTGAAAACAAGATCCTAAGACTGCAGGAAGTAATGACTAAGCGAAAGAAAGTTATTAAGAACAAATGAACTCATACAGACATACAGAAGCTGAATACAAGAATACGAATAAAATGAAGAAGCAAATCATCAACATCAAGGATTTTCAGAATTGATGCAAATTGAGGAAGCCAAACAAAATTGTTCCAGGTGCTTTCCACTCTTTTCATTGGTTGGAGAAGGGAATTCGTTCAGATTACTTCTTATAAGTGGAAACATGCAGAGATGGAGAAGGTTCACTGAGAGGACACAAAGTAGGTAAATTAAATTGCTCGAAGACCAAAAAGTTAGGAGAGAGAGATAGAGAGAAGAGTACGCATAGTCCATAGGGAGGTATTTAATCAACTTGATACACATCCAGGAGGTCGGAACCCAGTTCTAAATAAGTCTCACGACGGGATTTATCAGATAATAACCAACCTTTCAGATATTAAAATATGAATATATGTCAACCACCCACTCCACAGATTCCTTGAACCACTTTATAAATCCTTGTACTCATTCGTTGGTTAAGTGCAAGTGCACCACAAAATACTTTCAAGAGACAAACAGAAAGTCTTTTTCACTTATAGTCATAGACAATGACTAGATGTACGTTCATCGATTCCATCTCTCCTTACTCACTTCTCCAATCCACCCCCCCCCTCTCTCCCTTCCCCCTTTTCCTTTTTCTCCAAAGATGTGTCACTGGAGCCAAGATCCCCAGCATAATACCCACCCGAGGGACCCAGACCCTTTGCATGTCATTCAATGTAGTTAGAACTTCAGAAAATCTTTAACTCAAGATGGTCCAAGCACATAATGAAGCAAATATCAAACAATCGCTGAAATTTTGACACAAAGTTCTATCATCAAAAAAAATTTCCACCTTTAATCCATCAATAAGTCGCCCTGGCATGCTTCCTATGTATGTCCTCCTGTGCCCTCTAACATCCGCCTCATCCTTCACACCACCAAGGGATATGCGCACAAATTTTCTGCCCAGAGAAGCAGCAATGGACGATGCCAAAGATGTCTTTCCAACACCTGGTGGGCCAACAAAGCACAATACTGGGCCTCTCGCATCTGGTTTGAGCTGCATAGCACATTTATATCAATCACTCTCTCTTCGTTCTTTTTTTTTTCCAGCTTAAACAACTAAGATCGAAATCCATCAAGCTCGACAATCAAACAACAGGGAAAATATAAAAGCCGAAACAAACTACCTTGCGAACAGCTAAATATTCAATTATCCTTTGCTTGACCTTCACTAAACCATAGTGTTCACTATCAAGACGCTCCTTTGCAGCCTTTAGATCCAGTTCAAGTTCTTCATCAGCCTTCTGCCAGGGCAAGTCAGCAAGAAGCTCTAGGTAGACACGGGAGCTATTATATCCAGGTTGCTGAGGTTGCATTTTTTTTAGCCTCCTGATACAACAATCGGCAACAAATATTACTAAAGCCATCATTGGATTCTAAATCTTAGAAATTACAGAATCATGCTTTTGATGCAGTAAGAGCTGCTAATGTATTGCAAATAAAGATACTAGCACTCCAGCTAATAAAGAATAACTTCATTTACCTAAAAAAAATAAAGAATAATTTCTATACATCGACGCTTTCAAAGTACCAAGATCCAAAAAATGTTGGCCAATATTGGTGAACAGAAAGTACAAAAATGTACACCAAGATACTTCAACTGTAATCAAAGCCACTGAACAGAAAAAATTAGCAAAATCTCAAGTCATATCATTGTGCAAGAGTTGTGCTAACAAATTCAGCAAATGCATAATTATACTTCTGGAGTACCATGGACACCTCTGACTTCACATTTGTTTCCTTTGAAACATATTAATATGTAGTAATTACTCAGGCAACACACCCCTGTTACACTTCATTAAGCTGTTAAACTAGTTGTTCAAAGGTTCTAAAGAACGGAAAAGTGTACTGCACAATTGTTCAAGATTAATGATCTTGATTTGTCCAAAAAGTGATAACCAATATGAAAAACATGTATTTTCGTTTTCAGTAGGAGAGCATTCTACTTTTGACAATATACACTTGTCCAATATCCTTCAAACAATGTGCAGCAACAAGAAGTTTAATATGCCTTACAGATAACATGTATTAAATTCTCCACTTTTTTTTTTCCCTTGAGAATCTCTGCATAAAAACACATACGATGATAATTTTTCGTTTAAGATAGTGATTTCATGAGCACAACAATGTGTATCTTATATCCTGATTCTGGGTGCATTGCCATGACCACCACCTCAATACCATGACTGAGATGAGAATGTAACACTCAATTCTGCATACAAAAATTATATCTATTCATATAATTATCAACTTTCACAAATTTTGTCCATGGTATGATCACTAACTTTATTTTCCATGCTGAGAGCCATCATTCAAACATTCACTTGCAATATTTTCAACTCGGCTACAATGTTTGCATCAAATCATACCTTAGTTCCCTCTGTGCATGCTTCCATATATCTGGAGGCATTCCTGCACTTTGCATTTTCCTTTCCAAGGCTGCCAAATCATCCTCATCATCATCATTGTCACCAAGCTCCTCTTTTATAGCCCTCATCTGAGAATATTCAAAAGAATAGACCACAATGAGCCAGATAATTCAGATAGACTTATTTTAGGCCACATAAACTGACACATTATTAAAAAGTCCTCTCGGCAGCCAACTACTAAATGTGGAACCATCTGAGCATGTAGCTAAAAGATTCACATGATAACAACTGCGTTTCACTCAAAATTGGAAAAAAAAAATGAAGCAAACAAACATGGTTCAAGGTCGTGGTATCGAACAGCTGTGAGACACATCAGTCGCGTTGTGGTATCAGGCAATACGACTTAAAAGAAAATGTTAATCATGACGAGAAATTTAAATCATATCACGGCGTCGTAGAACCGTATCGGCCAAGTCGGTGACAATATTTCGGCGACTCGGGATTAACTCGAATACAACTTGGACGATTCGGACGAGTTGTGCGAGACTCGAGGTTTATACGTATCGTGTAACGATATCGTCTCTGAAGGTGCCGATACAAATACGACTCGGCCAACTTGTATCAGTATTGGCCGATACTTTGAACCATGCAAACAAATGATTCTTTAGGAAGCTAGTAAGTAGTTTGAGTGAATTAGTGCCTATTAGTTAAAGAAATGATCCATGTGATACGGATCGCTGAAAAACTCCCAGTTGAATGGTAAACAGTAAGAAGTCAAGACATCAACATGCCAATGCTAATGATTTCTCATCTTGCAGCCAACAGCTCCAACTGGCATATCCTTACAAAGATATCAGTTAAAAATGCAACCAATTGCAGAAAAGTTTGCTGAAATAAAAAGAAAAAAAAATGATAAGCACAGGTTTGCAATTCATCACTTCAATGAATCCACTTTTGTGCCAAATTTAACAGAAAACAAATCAGGGAGGGGCCCTCAGAGAAAGGATGAGGTGCAACTGTGCAAATTATTGAAACTGGCTCATGCAATGTGTCGTTACTTAATGGAAATTCTCTCCAAAATGTCGCAAGATGTCACTAGGACCACACTGCGTGCAAGCGGCCTATAACTCTTCCCATTACCGGAGAAATACAGTGGTTGATCTTAAAAAGCAAACCTGCTGACGAAGAAGATATTCTTTCTGCGACTTTGACAACTGTCCCTCAACTTTTTGTGCAATCTTCTCAGCTACACGAATTGACTGTCACAAATAACAAAAGTCAGCATAACCCATGACTCCATAAAAGCCACAAGAAACAAATTTAGATGTATGAATCTTAATGTCTATCAATAATCTATAGAGTACCTGTAAATGCCTATCAACTAATTCTGTGGCTTTTGAAAGCCTTACTTTCACATCCACTGAATCCAGCATCGATAGCTGCTCTTCAAAGCTAATTCCGAAACTAGCAACAAAGATATCTGCCAGTTTGTGTACAGGAACCGTCTCCAGAAGAACTTTTGTCCTACCCCCAGTTTTTTGTTTCTACAATCAGAAGCAAAACAAGGGGACAGAGATAAGAATGACCTTCAGAAATTATACAGAAGTTTAGTTCCACAAAAATTCAAAGTAAGCCCATTTCTCAGCATCTAGCGTAAATGATTTCCAATTGAGATTTTCTTTCTCTTTTTTTTCAGAGGGCAGAGGGAGTGAGAGGAACCAAGTCAAAAGCAGCACCTGCTCCAGAACAGAGATAAGCTCCATGGCGGTGGCTTTAAATTGACGTGACAATGCAATGAAATCTGGATGTTGCTCTACTTGTTCCATCTCTAATAAAATCAGAAAAATGGCAGGAACTCAGCATCTTGACAGATCAGGACTTAAAGCTACTTCTCTACAGGAAACATGATATCATTGACCCCATAGAAGGCATGACCTAGAAAATTTAGATAGGCACCCTTAAAATTTCAAAAACACCAAAGATATGATCCTGAAAAGGAAACTCAATGCAGTAGAGAAGTACACATTCTGTATGAACTTCGATAAATTCTAATAAATATCAGACTAGGCACAAAAAGAAAAATCTAACCTCCTGAAACTACTTCATTGAACAGCTAACACTCAATCGACATAACGAAAACAACCTCATGAAAAAATTAAGATTAACAATCATATGAACATGGACAACAACACGTGTCGTACAAACACCCGAGACAAAGCCCCAAACAAAGTCAACTTTAATTCGTCCTGAACAAGAAACATGCATTTAAAGGACGGGAAGAATAGCCCCCGTGTGTTGCCAATAAAGTTGCCTTCTCAGTGAATGATGCATCGACTAAGCAGTCTCAATCTCTAGGTTAATAATTAGATTGAGAAACTCTTTGAAGTGTGAATTAGGGTACGACATGTGCCTAATGCACCTCTCATTGGACCCTATACTAGCGCCTAGAAATGTAGCCCAAAGGCATGGGGGTACCTGCCACTGCTGGGTGGGTCAGATGTTACTCCGCATGTGTAGAGGCTAAAACAAAATACTTAACCTTTTTCCAAAAGACATAAATATTCCTTCATTATATACACGTAATGTAATAGAGTACAGATGTTTGCAATGCTGTATACCGATAATATGGAACCATCTAAACCACGTGCTTTGGGGACTCATGAGTCATGACTATGGCAAAGATTATGTCTATGTGAAATAATCCATAAACCACATGCATCGGGTAAGACAGAGGTCTCTTGCAAAAATAAAACTTGGAACCTCAAGGGAGTAAACCCATAGACTCCCTATCTATATCTACTGTATAAATATCCATAAATAAGATCTTTTGGATAGGCGAGTAGTAGACTCAAGTAGTTCTCCTGCCACCCTTATGCTTGGGATGTCTGTAACTTACAAGTTTGTATTTCTAGAGGTGAAAATGTAACTGATAACTTACCAGCTTTCATCATATCAAGAGGCAAAATATGTGCAGTATAATAGGTTCCTCTTGTACTAAGCTCCTGGACACTAAATCTACACAAGCCTTCTAGAACAACTATGTATGTGACCCTCCTGCTTGGCTTTTCCACTCCTCGTGAGAGATGTAAAGCTCGAGCTGCAACTCCCCTGGAATTGAAAATAAAATGGTATTCACAGTAACAATTATCTGTGGGAAAGTCATAAATATAGCACATTGGCCTCTCTAAAGCATAATATAACACAACAACATGGATGTTTTACCGAAGGATACCTGGTATGCCAGTGAAATACTTCCTGCTGACTTTTTCCATCAAACTTGTGAGGATCTGATATAGCTCCTTGACTTTTTGAGCATCGCTCTCCCAAATCAGTCCCTTCGCCTATAGTGACAAAATGTTATTCCCATTCACTTGTACTTCAAAACATTAACAAAACCTAAGTCGTGGTACCTGGAGATAGCATGGGACCCACCACCGTCGTCTCAGTAGAATCTCGGAGGGGCAGAATCCCAATCATACCCTTCTCCTCCCTCTGCCATAATTCTTGCTCAACCAATTTCACACTGCATAAAAGAAAACACACTTTTTAGTATGTTGGGAACACAAATGCACTCGCACCTTAGATATCTAAAAGCAATGCAGGGAACAACCCCAACTTCCAACAAGCATCGTGCACAACATGTACACAGACGGACAGGGTCCAAAAAGAGAGGTCGGCATGGAGTCCGATCCTCAGTCATGAACAGGAGCAATCGTCGGACCTCAGCATGTAACACATAGAGCGGTAAGACAGCACTGACTCCTAAGTAACAACCGCCGCCTAGCTTCTCCTGACATGAAATGTGACAGGAGAACCTACCTAATCTGGATGAGCTACTGACATACCTCTGACACAGACAGGCATGGTAGCCAGTCAACATCCCTTGGAGAACACTCTGTCCCCATTACTTGTCGGAATGATTACCTCTTGAACCAAACCCACACTCAAGGCACCCTACAAATACTACCCCTCATAACTGAGGGAAAGCGGGTAAATAACACAGAAACAATAGAGCAGTGGCTAGTCAAGTCATTCATTCTCTTTATAAAAACACATTCTCTCACTTATACATCGGACTCAATTAGTGACTTAGACATCAGATGTGATTCGTCTGGTATGATACCGGTGCCCTCCCTTTTAGTTTCTTCCTTAACATGATTCAGGCCTCAAAACTCTGCAGAGAGCCAGATCATCACATATATCGTGGGACAGAATCCAATCACCCACAGATCTTTGCTCGCATCTCGATCCAGCGAGCCTATCACGAACTCCAACACACGTGATCTAAGCAAAAACTTATCCATCATACACAAAGAGCTCAATTCCCAGCGTGAATTAGCTCTTACTCGTACCTCCCGGGAAAAAGGATATGTTGTAAATTTGAAAAGTCGCTCAGGTAAATCATATTTGTGAATTTCTAGAGAAAAAAAAAAAACATAGTCGTGTCACTTCATTTCACAGCTAACCCAAGTAATTGCATCAGCTTTTATTTATTTTCCTACAATTTCTCATAAATCATACGCATGATCTCCTCGTATCAGAATCACAACTATAAAGTTTGTTGAACTAATCAAAAATGAATTATCCACAGTTCAATCAAAATGAAAGCAAAACCAGCTGAGAATTGAAATTTAGGGATCATATCAGCTCAAAACCAATGCAATCATCGACCTTCACGACTGTTATATATAGTTAACCGTAAAATAATATACGGAAGGAAAATCAGATTTTCCAGGAAAACCGAGTAAGTTATTAAGAATTCCCAAATTGTGGAAAAAGATAAAAGACAAGCACCTGCTAGACGACGTGCAGCGAATCCGTATGATTGCGCCAGGTAAAAGGACTTTGTTTCTGAATGGAAGAACTGCTAGTCGACTCGGCAGTTCCACAACATCCGCCATGTCTCGAAGAGAGAAAATATAGAGAAGAAAGATAAACGAGAACGTATGTTTGCGTTTATAGAACACAGAGAGAGAGAGAGAGAGAGAGAGAGTAGTGCAGGTTCAGTAGGACACAAAATACACGTCGTCGACGGCTTTACTGTGTTCTTTATTTTCCCTCTCATCATGACCAGTCTATTGTATTTTTCATGGTTCAAACAGAATTAATTTTTCATGGAACTCCTTAAGTTCTTTTTAATTGCTATGAGGCCCCTCATCTCACAATATTTTGCCTAGCACCCTTTTTTTGGGACTTATATAGGTGACCATTTCCTAAGCTAAATTTAGTATAACCAATAAGGGTGTCAATTCGTGTTGTGTGACTACATATCACTATTTTTTGGTCATGTCATTATAATTGGTCTTTTATTGGTGTCAAGATCTATGGAAAAAAATTATTTAATATATTATAAGTGTCAAAATATTAATTCAACCTATTTATTTTATATTTATTTATTTATTTATTAATCTTATGGTGTCGGGTTCATATTTTTTTGTATTGACACCCTTATTTTTTGGTTATATATTTTTCGTGTTAACAGGTCAGATTAGACACTCCTAAAAACTATTGCTTTATAATATCATTAAATTATTTTTGTTTTTAAATATATTTATTAAATTACGATACTTTTTAAAAATAAAAAGTAAATTTCAAAAAACAAAAAATTGCACCTACTCCTTAGCAAACTTCATTTGCCAACGAATTTCAAAATATACAAAAAAATAGGAGGCTAAAATAGAAATGCTGGAGAGACGACGACCCATATGGTTAATGGTTTAGTGATCCACCACACTCTGCTCGCTGTCAGTGTCCCACTTAGTGAAAGCACCACGTGGTGGATTGAATAGGGAAAGCAAAGTCCACTATTGCCGCCACTTAAATTCGATATTCACACATTGATGTCTGGGCTGAAAGATGTGGAGCCCTTTCAGTTTTTATTTGTTTAAATTACTTGTTTGACCGTTAAACTATCAACTAATTTCAATTTATGCAGCTTAAATCAAATTTACTGTTTTATTTCAATTCTTTCTTGAACTAAGTTTAGCTTTGATTGAGTCTAACTCAATCTGGACTTTCTGTCCAACTCCATTTATTCCGTTGATGATAAAGAATGATTGTGTACTTCATGTCCATAGATTAGATCAAAGTTTAAATTATCAATAACATTACACTAATTCATATGAGAATCACATCGTAAACAACCAAATCTTATCTTTGTTATGAGCTAATGTCCCCCACCAATTCTATGGGCTTGTTTGTATAGGTTTTTTAAAAGTGTTTGAATTCACTTCTGAAAATCTTTCAAAATTCAAACTATTTTTTACAAAAATGAGATTTAACATTAAATTCAGTTCATTTTCATATTTTGTATGCAACATATACACGTGTAAAACTTACGGATATATCATAATTATTAACAACTATTTGTCTTATAAATGATTATTTTGTCTCTTGATTAATTCAAATCATACTTATTTTAAGAGATGTAATTGTCTTTTACATCATTAATCCCTTAACCCATTTTTTCAAACCCACCTTTGAGATTTGACTTAACTCGTTATCATGAGTTTAGTATTCGTGTCAGTTATGAGCCAGATTTAAAAACTCATTATTAATTTTTTAACCCAAATATAAAGTTTGAGAATCCTTTAAACTATTTTTCCCAACCTCACAAACCAATCTCCCCAAACCTAGAAAACAAAGAGGGTGGTTGACCATTGCCATTCCTTACTCCCCTCCCCTTCCCCCAAATTGTGTTGTCGATGTTAGCATTGGAACAAACAAAATTGACTATACACTAACAATTGTTTTTTTTTTTCTAAATAATTTAACTTCATTATGTGATTGTACTAAATTAATGCCATGAAACGGAAAAAAAAAAAAAAAAACCCAGAGTTGGAGTTATGAAAATGAGAGGATAAAAGTGATTAGAAGGTGAATTATATTTTATTTTATATATTTAATAATTAAAATTTTCACATTATATATTTAATATGTTAAAAGTGTTATAATATGATAATTCCGTTAACTTTTCGTTAGTGTTTTTATTCGTATCAATAGATTGAATTTTCTATCAAAAAAAATAAATATAAAAATAAAAAAATAGATTGAATTTTTATGAAAAAAATAACAGAAATATCACATCACATTATAATATTTTTAATATATTAAAATTTTAATATTTAAAAGTATAAAGTAAGAATCTTAAAATTTTTTAGACCACAAAATGCAAAAATTAAGGCCCCAAATAAAAAATTAGGTAAAAACTTGAAGAATACTAGTGTAGTAAACCAGATACCAAATTGAAAGGCCACCAAAACTTGTTAAAAAAAGAAAAGAAAAGAAAAGATCCACCAAAACAGCCAAATGCGAAGAAAAGTCACAGAGAGACGGACGTAGTTTCAGTTTCTCTCTTCCTCTTCCTCTACTTCTTTTTCTTCTTCTTCTTTTTTCTCTTTCACACATCGAAGCGTATAAGCCACTGGCAATGGCGGCCTTATCACCAGCCCTAAGCAACAACAGCACCGACACGCCCAAACCCACCAATACCACCGCCGCCGCGAGCACTCCTCCCTCCACCAACGCTTCTAAGAATCTCCGAGGCCTCAATAAGCCCAAGTGCATTCAGTGCGGCAACGTCGCCCGCTCCAGGTAGTTTTATCTTTCGTTATTCCCTTCAATTGCTCTTCTATGTCCTTCAATTCTTCTACTGCAAAACCCAAAATTCGAACCCTAGCATTTAATTTCGTCACTGAGATTTCCACTGTCTTTACCCATGTATATGCTAATATGGGTACAAGAGTATGTGCTTGTTTATTTGTCTGCAGAAAGTTGTTGGAAATTGATTAATATATGGAGTTCGTATGACATGCATCATTCAAAACCCTAGGGGTTTTTCTTTATTCTGTTCATTACTATTGCTTGAACTGTTATCTGGGTATGTGGGAAAGTGCCTGTTTTAGCCAAATAGGACTAGCTGGTTACGTCTACAGGTGGCGAAATTCATGCTTTGTTTGGTCCTTGCTCGTCGTCTTGGAGCTTCACATTTGAAATAGAAAATTGGCCATTCAAGTATTTTGCTCCTATTGATGTTCCCTCAAAAAACCTTATCATTTTGAGAGCAAAGCAGCTGTTATATCTGGACTTGCTAAGCTTCTTATTGGCTACTAAGATCAGTGGGAACCCATACGAGGATGAAAGCGTTCATCTGAAATTGACATAATTAACAGCCAACAATGAGAGCTAGTTTATTACCTACTTCCCCCCCCCCCCCCCCCCCCCCCCCCC